AGAACCTTTAGAGCACCTGTAGCATTTGGCATTTGTAGTGGTGGATGCAAAATTGCATCGCCGAACGAAAGTTTGTTAAAACGGTGCTGTTTGTAAGTATTATATACACAAATAATCTATGATTATTTACTAGACTACTAGTAATGATTACGCTGTGCAATTTGCAGATTTACATGAGGGTGTGATTCTTACCGGCGGTATCCAAAACTAGCAGTTTCCTAATGAATCTATTACAAACCTGGTAGTAAAAATATTAATATCACCGTTAGCTTTGTGTAGTTCTAAGCCAATGGATAGTGGCATATTGGTAGGTGTGTGAATGGGCTTTTTCAACTCTACGCAACGGTGCTAAAATGCAATGAAGATATAGACAATCTGTCCTTAAGCAGTCTACAAGCAATGGAACGGCGCTCCTTTACCGTGCAAAATCCGGATAATTGACCTGTTGTATTTGCAATTAAGGAAATTATCAATTTTTCATTTAGACTGCTGATATCGCTTGAAACCACAGTAGATCTGAACCTAATGCGCATTTCCTGTTATGATAAACGAGTACTTTGAACTCAATAATTTGTAATATTCACATCTGATTTGTCAGTTGTGATGATTCATTATTGAAGTGACCTGCAAAATATGACACAATTTCTCGTCATTATGGTTCTTCTTCATCTACATCCGTCCTTCCATCCTTACCATTATCATTTTTCATGGAATATGTGCTACCTTATCTTTTAACCAGATAACATTTTAATATACTTTGCCTATCAGTCATTGATATAGCAGCAGCCAGCTATGATCCGCTGGGATCCTATGAAAATCATCGAAGGCGCGAAATCTCCACCGATTAACTGATGGGCAGCGGGCACGCGAATCACGTGCTCTGATCAGCGGTGACCATGGTCATAAATACTTTATAACTAAATTGCTAATAATCGTGTGGATGACTGGAAGTAAGTTACAGCAACGAATTTGAGTGCCACATGCATGACGTGACCGGGAGTGCCTAGTTTTTGATCATTTCCCTGCCATTTGCACTCTGCAGCTGAAGAAGTTCAGAAGTTGACGTTCTTCGCGTCGTGTTTACTGTTGATAGAAAATGGGACAATGAATCGACCGGTGAATCAGAACGGTCAGCGTAGTTCTACATGAATTAGCCTGAACAAAGTTCCGCGTGATTAAAGCAGAGCTGTATGTGTAGACTATGTCAGTCTGTACCTCTATGCCCTATTCGCCTTTGGTAATGAGTCGTGGGCCACGACGCTGTGACTTCGCTCCTTGGCACAAGAGCTGAAATCGGCTTTCTGAGACGAATCGCTTTGTTCACACGTATTGACATAGTCCAGAGTATAGATACATGAGTCAGCCTTGGTGAACAGTCGTTGTCTCTTCAGTCTGAGAAGTCAAACTGCAATAGTTTTGGCACGTTTGGTGAATGATTACAAGAAGAAAGAAGAAGCAGCTACTATTTGATCCGGCCGAAGATCCCGGATAAGGCCAAGAATGACCTAGGGAAAGGATGTCGACGGACTATACTCGAAACTCTGATTATCTTTTGCCGAAACTCAGACAGTAGCACAGTATCGCGTATATCGGAGACACCTTCTATCGCTGCTGCCTCTGCGATCCAAAAGGATGGAATGAGCATAAATTTTGTTTAAAGCCGGAATATTAAAAGAGCATTCACTATTGAATCAAAAAATGTACAGATAAAAAGCTGGCATAAACGGAAAAGATAAGCTAAGCAGACGCGCATTTCAAACGATGAAATGACAGATCCAGGAAACGTCTATCGAGGTCAAGCGCTTGGCAGCGGCATCTGAACCTGATAATTCATTTCCTTACTGTAATACGGCTTGATCATTTTGCGTTCATCGAAGATGAATGATGTGTGATTCGAAAAGCTGTAAATTTTGTGTGAAGTAGAATTGTTGTGTCATAACGATTTCTGGACATTGGTTCAGTTTCTTATACACAAGTTAAAGGTCTTATTGACTTACCTTTGGAAAACGTGATCGCCGTCATGTTCAAATACGGTTAAATCGCTTAAAAATGTAAAGACCATTTAATCAGGCTATACGCTGTCGCTGTTCATTGCGAATAAAAGACCACTACATCAGTCTGTGCTTGAAAAGATATCCTTTTGAAAAAATTTATTCTAAAGAACGTATCCGAAAGTAAACGATCTAATATAGTGACGCTATGTGAAACATACGCTTGAGATCACAACGTGCAACCGCAGGTGATCTGTTCTTTTTCATATTCGCAAGGTTCGTTGGAGGTTTGCATTTGTTGTTAGATGTTTTGGCGGCACGTGACAAGAAGATGCGCATGTAGTCGTGACAAAAGATGATCGGTAAAAACGACAGGCAGTCCGTAGGCATGCTTTGGCACTTGGCATTTTCAGATCACTTGTCTTCCAAGAAAGCCCATTAGCAGGATGCCCGCAATGGTGGTGATGGACAGCGTGGTGAACATGATCAGAAATACCCTGTCCAATACAGTAGCGACGAATTCCCATTCTAAAAGTAGTTTTCTCTCTTCCTCTGCATCCTGCACAGACTCGCAGAGGTGACGAATCCTTCGACGAATTTCGTGTAGTTGTTCCATCACACTACTGTCGACCGAGTTTGGGTTTTGGACATTTCGTGGTTTCGAATTTTCCTTCAGTTTATAAAGATTAATCTCTATGAGATGATTAGCTTCGTGAACTCCTGAATCATACATAGTTGATTCATCTAGCTTCCCAAGCGGCACTGGTTCTTCTTGTGAGTTCTAAAATGACAAATATTGAATTCAAACTGAATTTGTAACTTTCTTCGTCCATTGTAATAATTTGTTATACTTATAGTGTTGAACATCATATTAGGTAAGTTTCGAATAAGCATCGTAAGCTGTTCGTATGCTAGAGCATGTCATATAGTGCCCCCTTATGCCGTGAAATCCGGTCCTGGAGGATTCATTCGTTAACGGACATACTCGAGTGTACGAAGAGTTTATGGTGCTTATGCGTTAGCAGATAAGATGTTCCAGCTCCTAGCACATCGGTAGTTATTTTCGCGAGGTGACTCTAAAAAGAGGATGCGAAAAACATCGGACACTACAGGTGCTTAAATACCATGTAGTCTTGGCTTGCCTACACCCGCAGGTAACCACAAGCAAGGCGACGTTGCTGTTAGCCGCGCAATCTGGTTCGGGAGGAATCTTTCGCTATATGACATAAGATGGAGTTCAATTTTAGTACTCAGCAGATACGAAACATCGAGCAAGATTCGAGGGGAAATTAAATGATGTAGTTGCACGGCAAAGAGTTTTGCCCATGACAAGATGCGTTTTATCAACGCACTTTGCATATATAATCATCATCATCAGCGTACACCTTCACTGCTGGATGAAAGCCTCTTCAAGACTTTGCCATAAACTGCTGTTTTCTTCCATTTTCATCACTTTGACCCAACGATCTTCTTCAAGTCATTCTCTCATCGATGTGGAAGTCTTTCTACGTGCCGTTCACTCTTCCTTGAAATGCAGTCGTCTTAATATGTCTCGTGTTCAGCAATGGTTGGTTCTTTTAGCGGCATGTCCTTCCATTGCCACTCTAATTTTTTCACTCGGGCATTGACAAGACAGATTTGAAAATAACTTGATGCCAGACTTTTGTTTGTGCTCTTTTCCATTCATTAGTCTTTCAGTTTCTTCCAGTTGTTCCTAACATGTATCTTTCTGGGTTGAATTGCGTAGTTTGTACTGTATGAATAGCTGTCAGGCTCATAGTCCCCCCCCACAGACATACTGATCTAAGACTTCGTTTTAAGCACAAGGGCAGTTTACCGGAACGGAACATTTGCAGTCCTCCGGAAGTGCTCCATGTCAGCTTCTGTCCATTTTACATAGTCTGTTCTCTGTTACATATACATATATACATATATACGTGCATTTTGTGTAGATCATGATCTAATGTGACGCATACCTCTTGGTCCATTAGTAAGGCGTCCTTTAAGGACAGTGGTAGCGAAAGACCAACTTTGTTAGCCATGGTTTTCATGATAAACTTTTTCCATTTGTAAGACAGACGCTTTCCATAACGGCCTTGTCTCTGAACGATGATGACGAACGAACTCAGGAGCGTTCCCATCGAAATCAGTATAATGACGCTAAGGTAGA